CGTCCGATTTATGGTCTACATAATCGACCAAGTGAGCAAACAATTAATGCGATTGTGACCAAGTTTCGCACTCAGTTTACTTTATTGGACATTAAACCAACCACACGAATGCGTACAGTGCGTACAGAAGAGAATATTGCGTCTGTTTCTGAGAGTGTTGCTGAAGACCGTGAAATGTCGATTTTACGCAAAGATCTTGGTGTAAAACCGTATAAAATACAGCTCGTGCAAGAACTGAAGCCGAACGATCTGCCACAACGTCGAATTTTCAGTGAATGGGCCCTAGAAAAGTTGGCAGAAAATCCGCTTTTTTATCGACAAATTTTGTTCAGCGATGAGGCTCATTTCTGGTTGAATGGCTTCGTAAATAAGCAAAATTGCCGCATTTGGAGTGAAGAGCAACCAGAAGCCGTTCAAGAACTGCCCATGCATCCCGAAAAATGCACTGTTTGGTGTGGTTTGTACGCTGGTGGAATCATTGGACCGTATTTTTTCAAAGATGCTGTTGGACGCAACGTTACGGTGAATGGCGATCGCTATCGTTCGATGCTAACAAACTTTTTGTTGCCAAAAATGGAAGAACTGAACTTGGTTGACATGTGGTTTCAACAAGATGGCGCTACATGCCACACAGCTCGCGATTCTATGGCCATTTTGAGGGAAAACTTCGGAGAACAATTCATCTCAAGAAATGGACCGGTAAGTTGGCCACCAAGATCATGCGATTTGACGCCTTTAGACTATTTTTTGTGGGGCTACGTCAAGTCTAAAGTCTACAGAAATAAGCCAGCAACTATTCCAGCTTTGGAAGACAACATTTCCGAAGAAATTCGGGCTATTCCGGCCGAAATGCTCGAAAAAGTTGCCCAAAATTGGACTTTCCGAATGGACCACCTAAGACGCAGCCGCGGTCAACATTTAAATGAAATTATCTTCAAAAAGTAAATGTCATGGACCAATCTAACGTTTCAAATAAAGAACCGATGAGATTTTGCAAAAAAAAAAGTTATCAAGCTCTTAAAAAATCACCATTTATGTGCGCAATCAAACAATGTGGACGATCCAGACTCAGAAATGCTTGAGTGACCTCGCTGCACAAATTAATATGCGCGAACGAATTGTGTGAAATGCTCACATACTTATGAACTTTAAGCGCCAAACACAAAATGCATTTACGCGAACACTATGATTACACAACTTACACAACTTAGTTAATATTTTTAAAATGCTTAATAAAGAATTACACGATTTGATGTACTTTACTTGTCAATGACTCACCACAAAAAACCAAGCGTCATCAACAGTGTTGCCATGAGAATGATAATAAGGGTTATAAATCAATTTTCACTTTTAGCAACCCCGGTTTGCGTTTCAATAAATTTTATTTTACATTTGCATTTTGCACTTTTTATTAGGTACTTACCTTTAAAAACATCAATTAACGACACCAATTCCCACTCAACAAGTTTTTTCTCCACATATTCATTCATTTTGATTTATAAATTCTTTTTCTTTTGTGTTGCACTTGAAATGTCGCACTTCAACTTAAAAATGCAATTTTGACAGCTGATCGAGAGTGAATTGGCATAAAAAAGCCGAAACAGTAGCGAACATAGCCATAAATGCCATACACATAGCCATAAATGCTATTACATTACATTGCTACATCAGCTACCGGCAATGCTATGAGTTTCAGATGTTTATATTAGCGGCTGGTGCTATACAAACGGCACTATATACCATAAATACTTGCTGCCACAGTGATTTATGTTGGCTTAAAAATAAAGCTACTACGGCTATAATTAATACTGATCATGCTATATACATAATAGAAATCGCTTTAATATTTAGCGTATGCAGTAATAACACGGCTGCTATGGTAAATATCAGAGGAATAGTGATTCTGTTTTTTGAGTGTGGTTGG